CCTATTATCGACATCAGAATCCGCTAGTGCCTATGGGTAAAGTTAAAAATTTGCTAAACACCATAGCGTACGCTATATCATCATTCCACATAATCAAAGTTAGCTAGGGATGTTGCACAATGATTGCAATTGTAGGTCTTTATGCACAATACCAGTTGATCGTCAGCTATAAATTCACTTTCATGTTCATATTTTATTAAAGCTATTCATATTTTGTGCAAGCTATTATACTTACCAAGACGCTTTATCATTTGCAAACTACTGTTATTTGAAAAATTGTAGGAAACATTTTTTTTGTAAACTTTCTAGGGTAAAGAAAATGAAGAAAACGAGAATTTTATTTTTATTTTACGTTGCCTTCAATTAGTGTATTACTGGGTAGCATGATGCTATAATGTTTTTACGCATTAAACCATTTTTTTTTTCAAAAATATGTTTAATCTGGTTTGAATTTTAGTGTACCTGTTTTTGAGATAACATAGGTAATTATACTTTTCGCATACTTTTTATATGCTGTACAAAAATATTCTTTTCATTTATGACAAATGAATGTATTTATGTTGATTGTAATTAAAGTTTTATTAAAATTTACTATTATAATAAGTCATTGTTTCTCTAACTATCTCTTTTGTGAAATAATGGTTATAATATATATGTTTTATGTGTCTAGCATTACTCGAAGGACGGACAAATACGAAACAGAAGTTCTCAAAATGCTCATGTAAGTTCCCAGATCTACAACAATAAAATTTCCAGCTTGTAGCTTAACTGGAAGTTGGGACCACATCATGATAAAGACTACATTTCTTGCCACTTTTGTAGGAAGATTGTACCAATTGCACTGATAAACAGATAATGCGACTTCTTCCATTTGAGATTTTAAATAATCTCCCACAACGCTATATACTGTTAACTGTGCTAGAAAAGCACTGAGCACCATAAAACTTTTTGACATCATACCAAAATCGTTGGTTGTCAGCGCAATAATAAATGCAAATCCTGCAAAAATTTATTATTTGTCATTTAAATTTATTTAATACATATTTTACTTTTATGTTAATATGCAAATCTATTATGTGGACGACAGAATATTTACCTACTATACATATAAGCATACTGCTGATAAATAGTTGTATTATTAAAACAAAACTAATTATCTCAGCAAGCTTTCTGGCCATTTGTATCAAATGATCGTGTCGTAAAATTAATGCATTAAAACGTTCGTCAACTTTCGGACCTGTTGCATCAAAGTTCATAAAACTGGCCTTTAGAATTTTTAGTTGGCCACAAATATGTAAGGTAATTTGAAGAAATAGAGAGTCGCTACCTTTAAAAATTATAATCAAGAATATGCTGCGAGAATATAAAATGCATATTGTCGATGCAGTTATACGTATTGTACAAAATTTGTTGATGTATTTTTTGAATATTTCGTAAAATATTCATAAAATATGTTAGCAATTAAATTTCACAAATTTTAATAAAATTAAATTTATTATTTCCAAAACCATATACTTTATTAAATACGATGTAAAAGCAAACTCCATGTAGAATTTTAAGTGAACTTGACAATAAGAAGAATAAAGAATACTTAAAATCATGGAAGTTAAGAAATTGTATAATAAACATACCGTGATTACTAAGGCACATTATTACTAGAAAGATAGATTCCAGAGCAAATATTACTAAATATGAGCCCGTCGAGATGTCAAAGTGTGCTAAAGTACATGTTGACGGAACAGCGTATCCCGCTCGATGACCCCAGATAGATATGTTGAGTTGAGCCTCCTCGCTGCTTACTGACGCATATCCAGTTTTATCACGTTTTAAACATTTATGTTCAAGACAAATAATTATAATATTTTTATTTTATAAAAACACATTTTGAACAGACAAACGTGTTGTTTGAAAAAAAAAACCAACCCTGCGCGTGTCCCACGATAAAGATCACGGAATCGACATAAGAAATCAATAGAGCAATAATGCTGATTACTCTTCCCCAGGAAGCATGTTTTCGCATGATGATGCGCTTCTCCTCGGTGTCGATTGCGTGATAATCGCTCATGGCAGAAGAATAGTTGCAAATTAAATTATCAGCGTATATACGAAACCATACTATTTTTAATACAGCAAGAATGCCACAAGCAAATAGTGTTAGAGCGTCAAGATTTGCGTACGCGTTGGTGCAGTTGTAATAAAGTTCGAGAAATTGTACGATCACCATCACGGTCTGTACAAAAAATAAGAAAACAGACTGTTTACGAAGTTATTTTATTCGCTTTTTTTTTTACTATTTGTCAAATGATAAAAATGTCAATGGCTCATTTATTAAACTTTACATGTTCCGAACGCAAGATTATTGTAAACAAGCAACTTTATCATATACGACACAAAATTTAAAAACATACCAACCCGCAGCTCGATACGATATGACGTCCTAAAGCAAATTTGTTGTATTCTTGCAAAGGCCAACCACCTATAGGTATAGTTAAGAGTTTGACAGGAGTCATAGCGTATACCACATCGTTTTCCCATGACATTTTTGTAGTTGAGTAAGAAATGTTGCACGATGATCATTAATGCCGGTCTTTGTCTATAATATGGGTCGACCGTCAGAGAAGTTGACGTTCATATCTTATTGAAGGTATGCAATTTCAGTAATAATATACTCTATTACCTTTGAGTGGCGGTTGCTTAAAATTGATGAAAAAAATTGATGGAAAAATTTTTTATGAAAATATGAAGGAAAAAAAGAAAGTATAAAATAACTTTATTTCTATTTCAACAACAGTTACTGCCAGTTACGGTTGCTTTGTTGCTATAATAATTTTTCTCGTTTTGAGATATTTTTTAGAAAATGGCAGTAAGTTGTAAATTTTATATATCAGATTTTGAATCAATCCAAATAATTAAGAAAGAAAATATGTATTAGATACAAATATGAGTGGAAAGAACTAATCGCTATTGTTTCTAATAAAATATAATTAAGTTTTAGTTTATTTATCTACATATATTTCTTTCTTAGAAAGTGTTTAATAGAATTAGAATTTTTTTAATTTTGAACTGACACTAGTAAGAACAATATGTTAAAGTAGTTTCAGAATATCAGTCATTGTGGTTCGCGTTAGAAAGAAAAATTTTCCAGCACTAATTCGAAGAGAGGTCTTCATCCTCATCATAACAAATAGCAGTAGCTTTTACCAAAATGGATGACATTTCGTGCCACGTGGAGCTATATATTGCATAAATAATCGATTCACTTTGATTTTACAAGGCATCATCGACGTACGTGTACAAAAAAAGGTTTGTATTATATAAAACTGAATTTTTATTATTTCCTTGTAATCGTGATGATTAAATAACAGGATTCCTAAAAACGGCAATTCTTTGATATAAATCATAATTCTTTTAACATTTTTTTTGAATGAATAAAATTAATAACGATAAAATTGTTTAAGTAATTGCACCGGATATATACCTGAAGTTGCAATAACTACGCTGATTATTAGAAGGCGCAGCAAAATATTGATAATGAAAGCGTCTTCAATATTTCTGGCCAGTGCTATGAGCTGACAATCTTTTGATCAATGGTCCTACAACATTCCCACGACGTTTTTCATCGTGTTTTCTGTTGATCTTTATAAACTGCAGCCTAAGAAGCTCCAACTGACCACAGAGATGCATGCTGAAGAAGAAGCTGTCACACGCACGTTCTGCTATTAATACTATAAATCCTTGGATTATTTGCACTATAAAGAGTGCTTTGTACGTGGAATACGAAGACACGTTGATGGAAAGACAAAATTCCATATGGCCACAGTGTCGTTAGTTACAAATGCGATCTATCAAAATATTCCATAAAATATTAACATATTTTTTAATTACTTTAAGATAAAATCTTTTCTTTATTAGCAAAATATGTTCAAACTTTATCCAGCAATGGTCTTATGAGAATTTTAACACAACCTCCTGTTTATTGTTAAGGAAGACGGATGCAAACTATCAGGTGCAAGCTGTCGATCCAATGATAAATTGAGTCATAGCGATCAATCGCCCTACACGTGCATATGCCATCATTATTACACGCGACTCCTTCTTCATAGTTAAAGTACCAATCATCAATTGCAGAATTAATATTGACCGCGATTTTTTTCATGTAAATTCACGGAAAAGTAATGTTCTGCCACGCATCTATTGCGCTTTCGATTACAAAGAATCTCCAGATCATCTCTGATCGCAGGTTTTGAAGACTTTTAGTTGTGAGAGACTATACGGTGACAAATATAAAATTACGTTCTCATATGATATTGTATCGAACAAATGACTGTATCAAAAATGGCAAAAAATTAAAAAGCAAAAAAGAAATTTATACTATAAGAAAAAACAGTCAAATTATAGAAAATTTTAAGTATATAACAAATAATTTTATTGCAACTAAACATAAAATATATATAAATGTCATAAAATTTTATTTTAATTATAAATAATACACTTTAGATTATTTATTTTATTATTTAAAAAATTTTTATAATTTTTTATAGCTAGCTGAAAAAAAATTATACGAATTGTTGCAATTTTATAATTTTGTTGGTTTTCATTACAAAAATTGCTACAAAAATATAAATATTCTTTTACTTATTAAAAGTGGCAATTAATTTCTTTACTGTATGTTATCTTATCTCTGCCGTAAATATTATAAGCTACTGAATTGTGTAAATTACGTTATTCCGCTGTAAAGTCCACATATCAAGTATTCATATCATTGATTTTATCGTAGAAAAGCTATAAATACCACTGTTCCAATTTTTCTTCATATTTGGTGGTAGTTCGTTTTGAACTACCACTTCAAAAAAAAAAATGTAGAGCATTATTGAATATGCGTGACTCGGTCGGGTCGATGCCTTACTTTTGTTCCAAGAAGAATTGCCCCTATCATGTGCACGGGAGGGTCTATTCCCCTTCGCACTGACCAGTCTTTAGGGTGGTAAGATAAGTGATGTAACAAATTTATCTGCCGCGTATCTTTGGGATGTCCGATAATGCGCGCAAATTCAATGCTACTGTCAGTGCATAGATGCTCGTGGTCAATTGCGTGTTGAAGGGTGGCATAGCAAGTTTGCGCTTTTTTCCATAAAAAAATATTTTTTCTTCCATCTGTCGCTTACTCGAGTGAACGAACAGCTACGAAATAGAAAGAATAAAGCTATATGTTGAGCGACAATAAAGATGATAAACAGAAGAAGCTGTACGAATGGTCATGGAAGAAACACAGAATTTTTTCATTCTATGAAACAAGACAACCATGCTCTGGTATTCATTTAAAATAACAAGTAAATCTTAAAACTTTATTCCTTGGCGATAATTATATGATTTCAAGTGTGTAAAAAGAATAATTTAATTCATTATATTTCTATATTTATATAAAATATTAATAATCTTGATAGACACAAATAATGTGATTTATATTAATCTTTCTTGTATTGACTTCTCGTATTAAACTCAGTAATCAATTGCAATAAAGGTATTGCTGTAAAATCTTATTGTTTTAATAAAGCTATGTCTTTAAACAGTACAACAGTATAATACTGCAGTACTACTTGTCACAATAAAAAATAATTTAAATTGTGTTTAAAATAAAAAAATTGGATTATCAAGAGAAGTAATTGAATAAATTACAAAAGCGTACATAAACAATATATAATAGCAATATAACATACATTTATTAATGCAAAGTTTGAATATTTATAATAAACGCTTCTTGCATCTTAATGTAAACTTATCAAAAATACACACAAAAAAAATAATTAAATAAAGACTAAAACTCAGTCTTATATAATATATTTCTTCGCACAATTTCTCATTTTTTGTAGTAGTAGTATGTTATAGTAATAAATAATATTATAGCATTAATATATAATTAAAAAAATTACTATGTATTAAATTTATTATTTACTTATTAAATATTGTTTTCCGGTAATGGCGGAAGGATTCACGGGAGGATCTATTCACATTAGAAGTAGAAAAGCAGTATGCAAAATAGCAAAATTTTTTTGAATTGATCAGAATTTGTATTGACAGCAACAAGCAATACTAACTGCTGTCAATACAAATTCTGATTTGCTCAAAAAATTCCGCTGTTCTGTATTTTGTTTTCTGCTCTCAGTGTGAAAAGTGTAAAAAGATTCAGTTTTCGTCTGTTAGGCCTTAAAATCATCGTTTTTTGGATGTTTAGAAAAATAATATTGGATATTTTTAAAATCTCCTGAAAATATTTGAAAATGCAATCAGGACGTTTTAAGAACGTACGAAATGTCTAATGCATACTTTTTTGGTACATTTTTAGAACGTCGTTGTGCTGTCTAAGAATTTTATTTAATTATAAAATAATCTACAAAAATTATTTCTATAGTACCAAATTATGCGCTGTTATAAATTTTAATATAATTAACTTACAATGATAAACAATATATTTGATACTAACAGAAAAAAATATAACGTTTGATTACGATTCATAGTAATATTATTTGAATTTCACATTGTAATATTATTTAAATATTTGTGCCATTACCTTTTCTTTTAATAATTATATTTACATGTCCAGTGTCATACGCAGTACGGACAAATATGAGAAGGAAGTTTTTAATATAGATGTAAAAGTCCCCATGTTAACGACGAGAAAGTTGCCAGCTGCGAACTGAACGGGTTGCTGCGAACGAGCAATGATAAACAACACGTTCTTCATCAATCTCACCGACAAGCAATGCCAATTGCAGTAATAAATTGAATGCGCAAATTCCTCCACTTGATATTTCAAATATTCACTCACGACAGAATAGACAAACAGTTGAGTCAAAAAGGTAAGTAACACCATTATAGTTTTAGCTGTCATAATTATGTCACCTACTTTCAACGCCAAAATAAATTGAAAGCCTGAAAAAATTATTAAACTATATACTTACAGTTTATAAAAATTTCATAATTTTATAATAAATCTGATAATTGTATGCTATTACTACATGTTCATATAAAACATTATTTATCAATTCTTATAAAGTACTAGAATATTATATATTATATTATATTATATTAATATGATATATGCACGTTTCTTAATTATATATAAATAGTAAAAATTTTTGCAAATATTTAATACGATTTTAATTTAACGTCTTTTTTTACAAAATTACTGATTTATAAAACTTTAATGCGTTTAATATTGTTTATATTAGTCAGAAATATTAGATTCAAAATATATTTACCGATTATGCTAATAAGAATGCAACTCATGAGCAACTGAACTGACAGACTAAAACCAATTGTATCTTTCAGTAGTTTTGCCTGATTTAATAGAAAAGTATGCTTTGTTACCAAGTTTAAAAAATCCTTATTGACATTTTTGTCTTCCGCACTCAAGTTACTAAACTCGATTCTTAGAAGTTCCATTTGCCCGCAAACGTGCAAGGCAATTGAGAGAAAAAGTGAATCATTGCCTTTATGAATAAATATACAAATATTGTATTAAAGCAATTTATGTTAATAGCTTTAACAATAAAAAAAATAAAAGGATTTTTAATATAAATGTAAAATATATGATATTAATGTAGTTATGGAATTTATAATAATAGAGTATCCACACTATACATATATGAAAAAGAAATTTGACTTTTGTCAATAAAACTAATGTAATGAAAATTTTTCATAATAAATAATATTTTAGTTACGTACAAAAAATAAATTTGTATGTAGTTAATTAAGTATGTAGGTAAATAAATTAAGATAAAAATAAAATTGTAAGAACTAGAATAAAAATATAAACACACATCTTTCTCATTAAAACGAAAAAATAAACATTTAACATAAATATATATTTTGTAGTTGCATGCAAATCACATGTCAATATTACAATAAAATTTTAATTTTATTGTAATATTGAAAATTTTACCTGTGTTGCCAGTAGCACCAATATATAATAGAATACACTGTACTACATAAATCATCACGTACAATCCAGTCGGCAAATAAATGTTTGCTAATGTACATGATGTGGGAAATGGATACCGTAAACCTTGTTTATTGATGGATAGATTAACTTGCGCATCATTATCACTTGACATAAAAGGTTCCACCATGATACCAATTGCAGCAATGTAACCGCTTAATACGACACAACAGAAAATGTTTCTTCCCATAAAAGCGTGTCGTCGCATGATGGTGCGCTTTTCCTTACTATCAATCGTAAGATAATCACTAATGGCAGAAGAAAAAATGCTTGTCAGGTTGTCGGCGTAAATGCGGAATGCCGATAATTTTAATAAAGCAAGAATGAAACAAACGAAAAGCATAAGAGAATCAATTTTTTCATACATATCGCTGCAATCATAATATATGTTGAGATACATTAGAATTATCGCCACGCACTGCAAAAAACAAATAAAATACATTTTTATTAACACATAAAATATATTTATTACGAATAATACTGTTCTTTACTACCACTGAAATTTATGAATTTCTGGAAATGTTATGAAGTGTTAAACTTTTAACTTGACCTACGTTTCGTAAATACAAGTAGAACAGAAACGCGGTATAAAATATAAATTGAAAACGTACTATACCAGACCAAGATATGAGAAAACGGACTAAAGCAAATGTATTGTATTCTTGCAAAGGCCAACCACCTATTGGTAGAGTAAAAAATTTATAAGGACCCATAGCGTACGACACATCGTCTTTCCATGACATTATCATGTTCAAGTAAGAGTGAACGAAATTCACAAATGATGATCTTTGCTTATATATAATGAAAAGTCGATCATTGGTAATACATGCGCTATTATGTTTACATCTTATTAAAGTTGTACAACTATTGATTCACATACTATGTAATTTTCCTAAGCATACTTATTTCAAAATTGGATAAAAATGCCTTTTTTATGAAACAGAAAAAAAAGAAAACAAATGAAAAAGATGGTGTTTTATTCTCATATGTCTTCCGTTACGTTGGTTGTCGATGTGATGCTATAAATATGTCTTGTGAGACTGTTGGTTTTTTATCAAAATATGTGCGATCTAGTTTAGACTTTAGTGTATACAAATTTAATAAATAATATCACAAGTTTGAAACAAAATAATTAAACGTAGAATAAAAATTAGTTAATATTACTTTACATTATATAATATACTTTTT